CACTCATTTTCTCAGATTCAGAATTCTTTTGTTGCTACTACTTGACTTCCAGTCAAAGATATCATTTCTCTAATTAATGGAGTCTTTCTTTCTTGGATTTTGAATGAAGCACCATCTGACACAAATAGATGTTCTGAATTCCCATTTTTGAGCATATTCCAAAGCTTAACAACATTGGCACCAAAGGGACAGTCTGTAATCAATGAGGCACATAGTGATATCTTCTCAAGTATCCAACGTGCTTCAGCAACAATGTCTCATGTTCCTTTTCAAAAGCCAGCTTGAACATCTGACATCTCTCTTTCCATGTCTGGCTCTAATCTGCAATGGATGATCCTAAGCATAGCCCCAGCACATCTAACGATGCCTGAGTAGAAGATGTAATTGTGGCTGTTTGGGAAGGATGAGAGAGAAAGAGGGGGGAGGGAGAGAGGGAGGGGAAGGAAGGAAGGAAGGAAGGAAGGAAGGAAGGAAGGAAGGAAAGATGCAAAGCAAAGGAAGAAAATCTTGAAGGCTGACATCTTGTTCTCATGGTAACTTATATACAGTTCAGGAACTGTGGTGGGATTCAAATTTTTTTACTACCGGTTCTGTGGGCGTGGCTATAGGGCATGGCTAGGCAGCATGGCCATGTGACTGGGTGGGCATGTTTTCTTTGCTTTCTGCAACAAACACCCCCCCCCCCCCATTGTTTTGTCTTCCTGGGCCCCAGGGAAGCCTCCTGGGCAAAGCAGTAAGACCAATGGCAGGGGAGGGAAATCCGCCCTGGATGTCTTGCTGACGTTGTTGGAAAAGTCGGTCCCATATTCCAGATCTGCAGTTGTCACAGGACTGGCCCTTTGGTCATCCTGGAGCAGCTGCTTCTCCACCTGGGTGCACCGAACTGCCATGGACTGGAGGAGCTGCTCCGGGATGACCAAAGGGCCAACCTTGTGACTACTGCAGCTCTGGAATATGGGACCGGCCCATGGTGGGGTTGGAAATCTCTGCCGTAGGGGTTGGCATGTTTAATTTGCAGGTGGTGCAATGTGCAAAAAGCAGTACAGCCCTCGCCGGCCAGGTGCTGTTGTGGCAAGAGGGGGGCGGTGGCACAGGTGGGCCAAAACAGTGATGGAGATGGCTGGAAGGTGCAGGAGCACTGCGCTGCTTGCATTTGTGCGGCATCAGCATTCCACCTTCGCTCGAGGAGCCCGATCGAAGTTTCCCACGCCACTCGCGCTTCAGTGCTTTGACTCCCAGGAACAGGAGTTTGCCCAAGCTATCTGTAAAATTCTCTCTCTCTCTCTCTCTCTCTCTCTCTGAGTATTCTCAGAAACAGCGTGGGAAATTTCAGCTGGACTCTTGAGAGACGAGAGTGACTCTGGCTGTTTCTCCCCATGAGCGCTCCTCAAGAGAGAGGTGGTTTTGTGTTCCCACGCAGCCTGGATTAATTGCTTTGGGGGGGTGTGCTTTGGAGGGGACATTTCTCTGAAGACCACCAAAATTTTCCTCACGGACCACCAGTGGTTCCCGGCCCACTGGTTGGCGACCACTGCTTTAGTGTACAGTATAACAGTCTATAATTGAAGCTGAGTTTGTATGACATACTTAACCATAATAAGACTTGTCTAGTTTTGGATTAGCGTCCTGTATGAATTCAACAACCACAATTTATAAATCATTGTTTGCCTTAATATGTTCTGCCAAACTCATCCAGTATAGTTTATGAAATATTGGCTTAGCCTCATTTCGCACTATATCTTAGCATAAGTTCACTGGTCTTGTCCCTTGTATCTTAATCATGCATAAAGGTCTACCTAGTTTATAGGATGCTATGTGCATCCAGATCAGTCTCTATTTCAACCCTTTAACAATTTCAAAATCTATATCATTCTATATCTATATATTTGTTCTTTTTTTAAGAAGCAAAAGAATTTGAGTGAATCCTTACTGTTAGGAACAGGTGTAAAACACCCATATACATGCCATTTTTGGATAGTGAGATGAGAGGCATATAAATTGAATTAAAAATAAAATAAAATTAAAAATCTGTTGGGCCTTCCATAGTGATCTGGCAGTCAGGGACATAAACTGGTAGTTTTTCAGACCAGGCAGGATAGAAATGGCTCCACCAGTTGAATTTTGGCTTGCTGAGCAGCTCTGACAAAGTACAGATGCCCTGTTGGTGAAGGAAATGACAAGTGTGTTTTAAGGTCACGGTTGTATTCTTCAGAGCATCATGAATTCCGTTTGCATTCATTTAAATGTGCTCCTTTCAAACTTTCCTGCCTCAGTAAGGAGGAAATCAGGTTTTCACTTGAAAGTGAAGCCTCCCAGTGACGTCACAGGTGCAGCCAGCGTTTTGAGGGCAAACAGCTCTGCCCTGCCCACATGGCCACCCAAACGCTGTTCTGCTGTGTGTGAGAGAGAGAGCATCTCTAACTGCATGTTCTTTTATTTATTGGTTCTGTGAAAAGAACAAAAAGACCGAAGGAAGGTCTCTTTTGTCTACCTGTTTTTTGAAATCAGGTAAGTAAGATTATCTGGAGATGAAGCGAAAGGGTAACGGCTGCTAAACTTCAGTTCCATTTCTCATTCTCAATTCTGGGTCTTTGTTTGATAACATTTGACAAGGGAACGTGTAGTGATCAAGGACCATTTTTCATTTACTCCAAACTGTGGCTTATTCATGGTTTAGTGGTCTTTTTCATTTTTGTTTTGCGCTGTTAGGAGAAATGCCACAAGGCTTAAAAATTGGGGGGTATGCATATTCTTAAAATCGTCTCCTTTTATGTGTTAATTTTTCATAGATATGAAATGCCAGAGTTTTTTTTAACTGTTTGTCAAGGGATGAGGAAGAATTTCATTTCTAACAGTGGGCTATTGACTCTTCGGCTGCTGTCAGCAAAGTAGTTGCCTTATGCCTTCATATAGTTCTAAAACTTAACCCTGAACAGATAGACAACAAACTTAATTCTACTTCTTCTACAAATAGTTTGGCGTTAATACAGTTAATTATTTCATGTATCTTATCCCCAAAGACTTTTATTTTAGGGCGTTCCCATCAAAGATGTAAATAAGTTCCTTTTTGTGCATCGCTTTTCCAAACATTTGGGAAGCATGTGATTTTGTAACTTTTCTGAGTCGGAGTGTAATGCCGTTTATAGGTGAGGAATCCTCCTTAAGAGATGTAGGAATAGCTCAGAACAGTTTTTTTCCCCCCTGCCCTACAATTTCCTAAATTGGTTGATGCCTCCCAAATTTCTTTCCAATTTATTTTATATACTGTATAAATAGTGTAAATTTTAGAAGCTGCTCTATTCAAATCACCTAAATTTTAAAATATTTTTTAAAATATGCTTTTTTCCCTAAAGGTTGAATTTTCAGGTAACTATTTTCACCTTTCTTAGGAAAAGCAACCCCTTTTCTCGGCTGTATTTCTCTGATCTATCTCATGAGTATGATAGGCTTCAATTATCCTTAGCTGCACCCCTGCTATAAAGCCGGGGATACAATTTTGAAAATAAACCATAAAGTTAAGAAATGGATCGGCAACAGGGACAGCATGTTTTATGTCCATCTAGTGTTCTGCTGACTCAAGGAGGAGCAGAGAGAATGGTAACTTAATACTTCAGAAAATCCCTACAATGAATCATTCGCCTGATCCAGCGTAGGAATTATTCTTTTGTGGAGAACTAATGGCAGGGCCCCACAAAATCACCTAGTTCAGAGTTCAGAAAATTGCTAATAACAACTACATCGTCTGCAAATGCCTGTAATTTATGTATTTCTTTATTTATTTCCAAACTTTTTATCTCCATATCTTGTCTGATATTTCTATTTAATACCTCCAATGTCAATATAAATAATAGTGGTGACAAGGGACACCCTTTTCGTGTACTTTTTCTTAAAATAGCAACCTTCTCTTGTCATATCTCCATTTATCATCACTTGCTTGTAATATATCGCCTTAATTGTATTAATAAATCTTTCCCCAAAATCCATATCTTTCAGTTGTGCTAACATAAACTACCAGTTGGGATTATCAAATGCTTTCTGTGCATCCAAGAGAATCAACGCCATTTGCTTCCCTGGATGTGTTTCATAGTACTCCAACGTATTTAGGATTATCCTCATATTAAAGAGTTCAGAAAATTGCTAATAACAAGTTGGATTATTGATCAGGCATGTAGTTTTGTCTGTGTACATAGTAACCATCCATAGTTTCAAACCGAGATCATATGCTCTGCTTTTGAACCATAGCAAGCTCTCAAGTAAGAGCCTTTGTGATTAATAATTTCCAAAAGTACCAGGGAGACTTCTTATTTCTGAACGCCAACATATGCCAGCATGTAAAAATATATAAGTTAGCCCTTCAAGGTATTTATTTTTATTTTATTTTTTACTAAATATATATAAGTTAGCCCTTCAAAGTAGTCCAGACTAAAAGTATGATCATGATTATTAACTTTATTTTTATTGTAGGGTTGCATTAACAGAATCTTGCAAGTCTGAAAGTACCTCTCCTGTCCTTGAATTTACTTTCCTGCAAACTAGAAAGCCTCTGAGATGCTTTCCCCATCCTTTATGCTTCGGACACAGGTTTCATTTCCCAGAATATTGTCCAGGCTGCAGTTCTTCCTCCTATCTCCCAAGGTCATTCTCACATACAATTACAATATATTGCGATTCCAAGCATAACATTGGATATGTAATAGCTTGTATGTGCCCCATCTATGTTTCTCACTCTCTCTTACTATCTATCTATCTATCATCTATCTATTTAACTTATTTAGGAACCACCCATCTCTCTCACAGAGAGATTCTGGCAGTGTGCAAATGAAATATTAAAAACAGTATACAGGTAGTTCTTGACTTACAACAGTTCACTTAGTGACCATTTAAAATTACAACAGCAGTGAAAAAAGTGACATGACCAATTTTTATAATGTTTGTAGCATCCCATGGCCATGTGACAAAAATTCAGATGCTTGGCAACTGGTCTATACTTATAATCTTTGCTATATCCCAGGATCGTGTGATCACCTTTTGGAAGGAGGGAGGGAGGGAGGAATGGAGGGAGGGAGGGAGGAAGGAAGGAAGGAAGGAAGGAATAAGTCTTACAAAAGTAGTTACCAGGGCATGTCTGAACCATGGGATGTAGGGTTTGTGGATGAAACCAGGTAGATGTTGGCTTGAAGAGAGATAAGCATTCCCTGTGCTTTTAACTATTCCTCCATATCTGTTGTTGATCGACTACAGTTTTGTTACAACTGATATTGTTTCTTTAAGCCATCAAAGATAGAATATATTGGATAGAGTTTCTGGGAAATAATGGAATAATGGTAGAATGTAAGTAAAATATAAGCAAGTAAATTGAAGAAGATCTTATTAGTGGCAGGGGAAACAAAATTGCTTGCCCAGCATAATAAGTTGCAAAAAAAAAAAAAAAAAATATCTGAGAGATGAACAAAGCTCTTTTTCTTGTCTGTGTTAACTGAATAGAACCTGCGGTGTCTATTGGCATTTAAAATAAAAGAGGGAATTTTTTTCCTTCAATAATTTATGGAATTCCAAAGAGCATTATGGGTTACTGCCAGTGCTGGAAAAAGAAATTTAGGATTGCACAGATACTTGTGCCAACACAGCAGAAGTCTATTTATGTATGGGGCTTTTATTCAAAGTGGTTGCATTTGCTACTTTACAGGGATTTAAATATTTATTTATTTATTTGATTTGTCAATCGCTTACAAAATAATAGGCATAAGTATAAACATGAGTAAGAATACAGGAAATAGGTACGAATAAATGGAGACGATAGGACAGGGACGGTAGGCACGATGATGCACTTATGCACCCCCACCGAAATATCTCTTAGGAATGGGTTGAGGTCAATAGTGGATAGTTTAAGGATAAAGGAGTGGGGGTTTGGGGATGTGACAACAGAATCAGGTAGTGCATTCCAGGCATTGATCACTCTGTTGCTGAAGTCGTACTTTCTGCAATCAAGTTTGGAGCGTTTTACATTGAGTTTGTATCTGTTGTGTGCTCTTGTATTGTTGCAGTTGAAGCTGAAGTCGTCATTGACTGGTAGGACATTGTAGCAGATAATTTTGTGTACTATGCTTAAGTCCAACCTCCATGTATAAAGCAGTCTAAATATAAGAGACTAGGTGTAAAAAAGGGAAAATGCTGTTGTTGCTCTGGTTCAATCCTTTGCTGCTGTTACCACTGGGGTGTTTAAATCTCATTTAATAAGACGGTCTTTTTCTACATTTTACCATTCAGATCAATGAAGAGGCAAATAGTACAAACCTTTACAGATTTTAAAGGGTCTGTACACCTTTGCTTTTGCCTGAGGATTCCTTCACCGCAACAAATACCTATTTTTAATGTATTTTCGGTGAATAGAATGTGTGAAATATTTTTCTTTAGGGGGCAAAATCCAGACACCCACCGAGACCCAACCTACCTGCTCTGTTTACTTGCAGCCATCACTGGCTGGTTTCCTGCCACAATTTCCTGCTTATGAATGTCACAAATGGCTGTTTTGACTTTGAAAAGAAGAGAAAAAAAAATATACTCTGGGCTTTAGGACTGGATGGTGATGAGGTGAGAATGTGCAGGTCCCAACAAGCAGGTTATCTTAAACCAGGTTCTTTAAAGTCTTTTGGTGGTTTAGGAGCTTGAGTCTGTCCACCATTTTCTCACTGAATAGTAAAACTATAAACAACGTCCCCCTCCTCCTCCTCTTCCCTGATTTTTCTCCTTCGCTTCCATATCTTTCTCCTCCTTCCTGATCTCTTCCTCTTCCTCCTCCTCCTCCTCCTCCTCCTCCTCCTCCTGTTTGTCCATTGGAACCCATCAAATGGAAGTATGAGAATATAGAAATAACTCTAATCTTACATTTTTTACTCCATCCCCCCAGAGTTCTTAACCCTCAAAACTTCCATGTGCATCTTTTACTCAACCTTCAAAAACTTTTAGAGGCAGCTGCTTTCTGAGATATGATTTTGGTTTTTTTTTTAAAGGTAAATAATCAAAGAAAGATAGATAGGAGCATACTTATTTTGCTACTGTCCTCTTTCTGCAAGCGAATTTTTTTCTGAAGATTGTATCATTTTTGTCCAAAGAAAACTAAGGAGAGGTGCCTTGGCAGGTATATATTTTCTTTTTTTTTGTTAATCACGAGGTTCACCTTTTCTTTTTAGACATTTTTAAACTATAGCACATTGTGGTGGAACCAGCCACGCTCTCCAGATGCCCAATCCAGCCGCCCATCTACCTTTCTACTTTGGCAGCATCTCCCGGTCAGATGCCGAGGATCACCTCAAACTGGCAGGGATGTCGGATGGGCTATTCTTGCTGCGACAGTGCCTTCGCAATCTTGGCGGCTATGTCCTCTCTATGGTGCACAAACTCCAGTTCCACCATTACTCCATCGAGCGTCAGATGAATGGGACCTTTGCCATCTCTGGAGGGAAAGCGCACTGTGGCCCCGAAGAGCTCTGCGAATTTTATTCCAAGGATGCAGACGGACTTTGCTGTCCTTTGAAGAAACCTTGCAACCGTCCTAATGGCCTGGAACCCCAGCTGGGGATTTTTGATAACATCCGGGAGAATATGGTCCGCGAATACGTCCGGCAAACGTGGAACTTAGAGGTATGAGCATCAGTTTGATTTTTTTTTTCCCATTAGAGAATTTATTTCTTTTTATATGTTTTATATGAGATGGCTTACAAAATCCAACACCTATTGACAAAAGTAAATTCCCAATAATGCTATATTTTATGTACAGTACACACACACACACACACATACACACACACACACACACACACACAGAGCCCCCTGACGCACACACAGAGGGAGAGGGGGGGGGAGAGACAGAGAGACAAACACACACATATTCACCTGTATTCACTTATGCACATTTTGAGAATGATTTTGAAAAACTGCTTTGAAAGTCATACAAGCGCAATTCCTCTTTGCTGCTACCTATTAAAACCACTGTGTCTTTTTTTCAGGTCTCTGAATGTAAAAAAAAAAAAAGATATGGCTGTGTTAATGAATAGCTCTTCATGAGCAAAGCAACAAATTGCAATAGCTGGCAGGTTAACATCACCTCTTAGAGTTAAGCATTCCAGGCTGGGTCTGGCAAGGGAGGGAACAACGAGATGAGCCTCCTTTGACTAACATGATTGAAGCACAAACAACAGAGTTAATTATGGGTGGGAGGCAGTTGGAAGGGCCTATTACCTGTGCAAGGGCTAAATTGATTAATGATATATAAATGCATGGATCTCTGTAATGGTAGCTTAATATTCTTGATGATGTCAGCAGAGGTTGACGAAAGCTTAGTAAGTACAATAAATATGAGTTTTAGTTCCGAGAGAGAGAGAGAGAGAGGGAGAGGGAGAGATAAATTCAGTGTTTTAGAATGGTTTGATTCCAAACCATTCCAAAACACTGAATTTATATTTTTTAGGGAGGAATGTATAGTTCCAGAATATCCTTTCCTCTTTTACACTGAATTTAACTGTAGAAATTAAACTGCCAGGTTTAGGGTTGAGGGTAAATTAGTTTTGTACTGAAATATTCTTCTACGTTATGCCTGACCCCCGTCCCACCCCCAACTTTTTCTATTCAGATTGCTGGGGAAAATATTAGATTGAATTTTATCCATTTATCCAAACATACTTTAGGGCAGAAAAATAGCAAACTTCCCCATCCATTGTTACTTATCTCCCATGTTTTAATAATTCCCAATAATGCGAAAGATAATTTCCCTCCCCCTCTTCTTTTTTTTTATAGGGAGAAAATCTTGAAGTAGCAATCATAAGCCAAGCACCTCAAGTGGAGAAACTTCTGGCCACCACTGCTCATGAGAAAATGCCTTGGTACCATGGCCCCATCTCCCGAGAGCAAGCTGAGAGCCGGCTCTACTCAGGAGCACAGCCTGATGGGAAATTCTTGTAAGCATTTAAGGATCCCTTTAGTTCTGGAGAATTTTTTTTTTCCTCCCCACTACCTGCAGTTCCATATTTAAGACACACACATTTGCATAATTATAGTATTGTGGCCTGTCGGCCACCGGCCCCTCCAGCAATTGAATCAGAGGAGGAGGAGCTGTGAGAGACAGGGTCAGCATCAGTGGTGGGATTCAAATATTTTTGCCACCGGTTCGGTGGGCGTGGCTTAGTGGGCGCGCTTTACACACATGCACAGACTTGGTGTGCATGCGTGTGACAAATGCACACTTTGCGCAGGCACAGAGGCGTTCTAACTCGCCTCCTACAAGCCTGCATGATCCTGGTTGCTTCAGCAGCTGCCACGCAGCCCTATTCTGTGCCGCGCAAAGCAGCTGCGCTTCAAATTCAGTGGATAAAGGTGAGTATGGGAGCCAGGGTGGGCAGGCGGGCCCAACATCAGAGCGGCAGAAAGAACCAGTTTGGTCTCCACTGCTCATCGCTGCTACTGGCTCACCAGAAACGGGCCGAACTGGTAGAATACCACCACTGGTCAGCATCAGGACAACTTGGGAACTCCGAGGGGGAAGAGGGAATGGAGCTGGCAGAGAGAGAGAGAGAGGCAGAGGCAGAGGCAGAGGCAGAGCCTGGGCTGCCCATCAGCCCTCAGATGGAGAGTCAACAGCCCCCAGATCTGGAGGTGGTTGATGATGAAGAAGGGGAGGAACAGCTGAGTCCAGTGCCTGATGCACGGCTGCACAGAAGGCAGAGGAGAACTATTCAGCCTGTCCTGTACAAAGGCAGATAGATCAACTCCACCAAGCATCCACACAAAGTCTTTTTTATTGGTTCATCAGGCATCCTGTCAACTCACATTTATGATGAGGTTCTTCTTAATGTCCAATCCTTTGCATATCTGAATTGTGGTGTAGGAAGATAATAAGGTCTCAACCCCATGACGATTGAAGAAGCCGCATGGTAATGGCTTCAGGCAAGAGTGAGGGAGCCTCCCCCAACCCAACAAGGGTCAATTTAGTGACCAATCAGGATTACAGATGTGACCACATGACATGGAGTACATTTCCCAGGATACCTTAACTACATTTACCATGAGGCATTCCCTTAAGGGGACAGCTCTCAAATCCTAACTAACTATCCCATATCCCATTAACTCTAAACTGTCTGGACAGTTGGAAAGCCATGGGTCAATCCTGGGGAAGGGAGAGCCACCGGTGCTAAAGAGACCCCACTCTAGCTTTGGGGATAAAAGGCAGGAGGCAGGGATGAATAGGTGTGGCACATAACTATTCATCTTCCGGCTGGACAGACTTGTTAGCCTGCGAGAGAAACTTATTTTCAGGGCTACTGGCGCTCCTAATAATTTTTTGAGTTCATGTCAGAGGGTTTGTCGAGTTTGGGGAACTGGGTCAGAACATCTACATTCTGGCTAAGCAGCCTTTTATAGGCAGTCCTTGACTTACAACCAATCTATTTATTGAGCGTTCAAACTTACAACGGTGTTGAAGAAAATGGCTTATGACTGGTCCTCACACTTGTGCAACTGTCGCAGAGTCCCCACAGTCACGTGATCAAAATTTGGGTGCTTGGCAACTGGTATATATTTACAACAGGTTTCAGCATCCTGGGGTTCGTGTGATTGGCGTTTGCAACCTTCTGACAAGCAAAGTCAATGCAGGAAGGTGGTGGATTTGTTGAACAACCACGTGATTCATTTAGCTACCATGATGATTTGTTTAACAACCATGACAAAAGATCCCAGGGTCATGTGATTACTTTTTGCCACCTTCTGACAAGCAAAGTCAATGGGGAAGCCGGATTCACTTAACAACTAAGTCACTAACTTAATAATTGCAGTGATTCACTTAACAATGGTGGCCAGAAAGCTTGTAAAACGGGCAAAATTCACTTAATAAGGGTCTCACTTAACAACAGAAGTTTTGCGGTCAATTGTGTTGGTATGTTGAGGACTACCTATATCAGTGGTGGTTAACCTTTTTGGGCTCCTGTGCCAAAGATTGTGCGTGTGCTCGCGTATGCGCGCTCACGTGCCAACACCCAGAAGACAATGCGTGCCCCCCCATGCCCTTTGCGCATGCGTATGCAATCCCCGGCCCCCTTACCTGCACTGCACCTCCCAGCTGATTTTCAGCTGGTTTGAGGCCTTTTTCCGCCTCCTAGGCTTCAGGAAAGCTTCTGCAGCCTGAAAAATAGGCCTGTTTCATTATTTCCAGTATACAGGAAGTGATGAAATGGGCCTATTTTTCAGGCTGCAGAGGCTCTCCTGAAGCCTAGGAGGCCGAAAAAGGCCTCAAACCAGCCGAAAATCAGCTGTGAAGCGAGCACATGTGCAGTGAGGTAAGCTTGCCTGCGGCTCACATGCCGGCACAAATGGCTCTGCGTGCCACCTGTGGCACATGTGCCATAGGTTCGCCATCACGGACCTATATCAAACCACATGCATTCATTTATTCATTTAATTATTTTATGTTATTTGTCAATTGCTTACAAGATAATAGGTATAAGTATAAACATTGTTATGAATACATGGATACATGTAAAGTAATATATGAAATCTTAGGACAGTAAAACTCAGCCAAATCTTGCAATTATTAGACCAAGGCTTAAACCAGTCAGTCATATTTACATGTTGTGAATTGGATGTTAATGAATAATAAATACACGGTTAACTCTGATTCAGGGGGAGCCTCTTTGAATAGATTATTCTATTCTGTTCCCTCAGGGATTAGACTCACCAGGGATTTCTTTTGTCTTTGTTATAAATGATTGATTTTGTGTTTAATGTACACAAAACACAAACAGTGTTTAATGTATAAACATTCGTTAAAATTGGTACAATTTTAGCCACCTTCATTTAAAAACTTTGGTCTGCAAGGTATTTGAATCAGTTGTAAAATGCCAAAATAATCCCTTAAAATTATAATTTACTTCATAATAATTTCTTAGCAATTAAAATCATTCAAATTTAAGATTTCAATTGTTTAACCATGTTATTCTAGGATTTTGGAACATACCATCAGGCAATATCCAAGCCAGCTTTGTCACTAGCTTTTTCAAAATATCAGTTATTAGGATTTGTAGTGAAAGTATGTGTCTCTTTTTTATATATAAAATTACTGTTTATACTATATTTATTTACATCTCCAGGGAACTAGTTTTCTAAAAATGGTCATGTCTTTCTAAAAACTGCATTGGCAGCAGTTTCTCAATAGTTTCTCTAGTGATTCCAATAAATCTCATTCTGTCAACAGTCCAAAATATCCTGAGAGCATCCAGTTCCAAGGCATTTTGAGAAAGTCGGATGATAGGCCTAGAGGCATTTCATGGGAAATTAAAATTGAACTGAGAAATCACTATATCTTAAGTGGGCTTGTATATATATCTCTTGCTGGAAAATTTCCCAGTGCTTCCTAAGGAAGGGAGTGAAATTGATTAAGTTTGCATTTCAATGCAAATGTATTTAGCCTTATATTTTAAAAGTGATATAAACAAAATATTCTTTTTTTGCCCTCCATGATGTTAAAATCTTATCTCCTGCAGTCTAACATTAAAATTTTATATCTAAAATGTTTTTGTCTGTGGCAGACATAATTGATTGGTGCAATACTAGTAACTTTGTTATGCATGGATATATAACGTGCGGTCCTTGGTACTCTCAGAATTTGGATGTTTTCTTGCAACAGACGTTTCATTACTAAACTAGGGAACATCATCAGTGCTGTTGATGTTGGTGTTGGTGATGTTACTTAGTTTGATACTAGAATAATTGGAAAAAAAAATGAAGTACAGATACATCGACTTACAATAGCTCAATTAGTGACCTTCCAAAATTACAACACACTGAAAAAAGTGACTTATGCCTGTTTTTCACACTTATGACCATTGCATTATCCCCATGGTCACATGATCAAAATTCAGATGCTTGGTAACTGACACATATTTATGATGGCTACAATTTTCTGGGGTCATGTGATCACTTTTTGCTACCTGCTGAGCAAAATCAATGGGGAAGCCAGATTCATTTAAGATCCACGTTACTAACTTAATAATGCAGTGATTGACTTAAAAAGTGTGGCAAGAAAGATTGTAAAATGGGGCAAAATTCACTTAACCAGTGCCTCATTTAGAAATTTTGGGCTCTATTGTGGTTGCAAACCAAGGACTATCTATATAAGAGGCAAATCTGCAAAAATCTGTGTTATGTTTGAAGAAATCAGCACAAAAATGCACAAGTTATCACAATAACAGAATAATAGAGTTGGAAGGGACCTTGAAGATCTTCTAGTCCAACCCCTTGCTCAGGCAGAAAATCTTGTACGATTTCAGAGAAATGGTTGTCCATCTTTTCTTAAAAACTTCTGGTATTGAAGCATCCACAGCTTCTGGAGGCAAATTGTTCCACTGATTAATTGTCAGGAAATGTCTCCTTAGTTCTAGGTTGGTTCTCTCCTTGATTAGTTTCCACCCATTGCTTTTTGTTCTACTGTTAGGTGTTTTGGAGAATAGCTTGACTCCCTCTTCTTTATGGCAACCCCTGAGACATTGGTATATTGCAGTCATGTCACCCCTTCTTTTCATTAAACTAGACATACCCAATTCCAGCAACTGTTCCTTATATATTTTAGTCTCCAGTCCCCTAATCATCTTCGTTGTGCTTCTCTTCATTCTTTCTAGAGTCTCAAAATCTTTTTTACATTCATGGTGACCAAAACCAAATGCAGTATTCCAAGTGTGGCCTTACCGAGGCATTATAGAGTGATATTAACACTTTGTGTGATCTTGATTCTATCCCTCCGTTAATGCAGCCTAGGACAATTTAATCTAAACGTTTTTTTAAACAAAAGTTCTGAGACTCATTCTATTGATAGATTTGCAAAAAAAAAAAAAAAAAGAGGGGAGGAGACCCAGATAAATATTAACGTGACAGATTTGCATGTAAGAGAAAGCTGACAGAATTACCAATCTGTTTTAAGTTGCTGCATCGGAATCGTACAGTTCGTTTGTGGAAATGTAGCTATTTCTAGTCTTCCTCTCCTTTTCCCATCAGGTTGAGACAAAAGAAAGAACAAGGAAGCTACGCCCTCTCCCTTGTATACGGAAAGACTGTTTATCACTATCGAATAGTACAAGGAAAATCAGGGAAATACTCTGTAGAAGATGGAACCAAATTTGATACACTGTGGCAGGTGAGATTGCAGTGAAGAATGAGTGCTTTGCTTGCTTGTTTGCTTATTTATAACCTACCTTTTGTTTATAAATAACCCGTTGGTGAACATATCCAACCAGGGATGGGATTCTATTGGTTCGGACCGGTTTGGGCGAGCCCCTTGTTCCAAAGATCAGCTGGTAGTGTTGAGATGTGGGCCCACCTGGCGGTGCGTTTCAATTTTTTTTTTACCACCGGTTTGGTGAGCGTGGCTTGGTAGGCATGCTTTGCGCATGCGCCAAACATGCACTTTGCACATGTGCAGAGGCTTTCTGACTCACCTCCTGCAATCCTACACTCTCCCTGTTGCTTCAGCAACTGACACGTGGCAATCTGTTGTGCCGCGCAAAGCAGCTGCGCTTCAAAAGCAGGACATGAAGGTTAGTATGGGAGCCCGGGCGGGTGGGTGGGCCAAACAGCACACCGTCAGAGAGAACCGGTTCAGTCTCCACTGCTCATTGGACCTACCAGCTTGGCAGAACCAGATCGAACCGGTAGAATACCACCACTGGACCCGCCTGCCCGTCCCTGCTCTTTCCTGTGCTTTATTGCCTTTTGTTAGAGCACAGCTGATTCTTGTGACAGAGTGGTTTCCCGCGCCTCAGCTGTTTTATTCACAGGGACTGCAGTAGAAGGTATTTGTGCTTTTTTAAATGCGGAGCACACACAAAGCGCACAATCATCAAACTGGTTTGTATACCGGTGGAATCCCACCCCTGTATCCAACATACCTTCCTCCTCCTATTTTCCCCATAACAATAATCCTATGTGGTGAATTGGGCTGAGAGAAGGTGACTGGTCCAAAGTCATTCAGCTGGCTTTCATGGTTAAGGCAGAACTAGAACTCACAGTCTCCCACTTTCTAGCCCGGTGCTGTATTGGCTCTCTGGTTGGTAAGTGGAAAAAACTTACCAACCAAAGTGTCTTCTTTGGTTGATAAGTTTCTGTTTGTATCTCTTTGTTTTTCATACTTACAACCATTGCAGCATTCCCACAGTCACACGATCAAAATTCGGATGCTTGGCAACTGGTTCATATTTCTCATTGTTACAATGCCCCAGGGTGATCATGTATTCACCTTTTGTGACCTTCTGATAGGCAAAGTCAGTGGGAAAGATATTCACTTAAGAACCATGTTACTAATGTTAGAACTGCAGTGATTCACACAACCAGGGTGGCAAGAAAGGTCATAAAATAAGATAAACCTCACTTAACAACTGTCTTGTTTAGCAACAGCAATTTGGGGGTGATAAGTCGAGGATTATCTGTATTGGCCAAATGAAACCCAGGAAGGGCAGCACTGCTCCAATAAGTCCCATAAAATGCATTTCTCACTTTTTCACGTATCTTTTTGAGATGTTTAATTTCCCTCCCACTTTCTCTATGGGATGCAGGAAAATAAGGATGCCAAAAAGGCCATTAAACTAAAAACCTTGGTTGTTCATTAATTTTCTAGTCTCCTAGAACTGTCTTTAGTAAAGTCTTTAGTAAAGTGTACAAACCAGCATTTGCATTTCCTGCACTGGGTGAGGAGAGCACACCTTTCTCCTTCTGTCCTGGCCACGTTTTAGAGAGGCATGATTGAGAACGTTTTAACAAACTGCATCCCTGTTTGATGGCAGCAATGCCTCAGATAGAAAGTCCATACAGAGAGTGGTAAGGACAGCTGAGAAGATTATAGGAAGCTCGCTTCCTGTCATTCAAGATCCCGCTTATAAGTGCTATGTGCTTACAGCTCAAAGCATGGTTAGAGATCCCACACATCCCCTTCTTTCTGTTGCTCACCTCTGGGAGGAGGTTTTGAAGTATTTCTAGCAGGACTTCCAGGTTCTGAAACAGCTTTGTTCCTTTTGCCATTCGCAGGATTCTTTTTCCCCCCTGCCATGCATAGGTATACATTCGAACTAGACTGTCATGTTTCTCTGTGTCATATATGTATGGCGGGTTATATAATGCATAAGCATAATGGTTACCTTTGGAGACTGGATGCAACAAAATTTCATTTTAATATATGCTGATTCGTGTACATTTGAAAGCAGCAATAAAGCTTTTTTCTCTCCTCTCCTCTCCTCTCCTCCCCTCCCCTCCCCTCCCCTCCCCTCCTCTCCTCTCCTCTCCTCTCCTCTCCTCCCCATCCCATCCCATCCCATTCCTTCTCTTTCCTCTTATGCTCTTCTCCTTCAACATTCTTTCACCAGCTGGTTGAGTATCTCAAACTCAAACCTGATGGCCTTATCTATTATCTGAAGGAAAGCACCCCAAATCCTGAAATGCAATCAGGTAAGGTTTTAACTTCTCTCCTATATCTGAGAAAAGGATTGGCAATTCTGGTTATTTTCTTCCCGGGGTATATATGTTTTAGTTATCATAAAATCTATATTCCTTAAAGATTGTATTACAGTTTTTTTTTTTTTTTAAAAAAAAAGGAACTGCAGAGAAGGATGGTATCAGAGTTTGTCTAAGCTAACATCCTTCAGATGATGTAGGCTTCAACTCCCCAAATTTCCTCCCCTAGCATAGTAGCAAGGGGAAAAGTGATATTGGCTAAGGCAGAGGTCTCCAAACTTGGCAACTTTAAGACTTCTGGACTTCAACTCCAGAATTCTGGGAGTTGAGGTCCACAAGTCTTAAAGTTGCCAAGTTTGGGGACCCCTGGGCTAAGGGAATCTAGGAATTTATTGTCCACACATCTGGAGGGCTCTACTGTACTGATGGATTTGGCATTAATTAGAGGGTCTGGGATTTAGTTGGTCAATCAGACCATTAGAATTGACTGGCATTAACTTGGGTAGGATAGTGGTCTAGAACAGGGGTCACCAACCTTTTGGATCCCAGGGCCCACCAAATTCATACTTTTAAATCCCAAGGACCACTAATACGATTTTCTTTTAAAAAAAGCTAATATATTTAATATAATTTTTTAAATTAAATATAAAGTATATATATGTATGTATGTATGTGTGTGTGTGTATGTGTATGTGTATGTGTATGTATGTGTATATAGTTGTGCTTTTAAAGTTGTAGCAACGTTTCGGCAGAATCTCCTCTACCATCATCAGGCTTCTGTATTGTGTTCGTCTGTGAGTCAGACTTTTACAGTTGTTTCAGTTTTAAATTTGGGGCTAGCCTACTGCTGTGCCAGAATGGTTTTTTCTTCATCCTGATTGGTTGGGAGTCTTGGTCTGTGTTTATTGGTCTTGGAGTTTGCTGTGTTCTGCTTGATTGGTGTTTCTAATATCTTCTGTCTTCTGTTTTGTGCCTTTTTTTGTGTCTTGATTGGCTGGCAACATTGTGTTCCTGTATTGGAGGCTTTTAGTGCAGCTTGGCTCTGAGTAAATGGACGGCTATCATTTGTTAGGAAGCTAGGTTTCATCTGGGTGCCTGGTTGGGGTGTGTTTGAGCTGGAGGTATCAGGGGGGATCTGTTTGTGCCCAGGTGTTTGCCTGGCTTGTGGTGTGGAGATTTTTTTGTTTGTGAGTGCAGGCTTCCAAATAATTGACAGTCTGGTGGAATCATCTCTTCTATTCATGCTTTCAGGTCTTTTTTCAATCTCTATGGCTTCTCTGATAATTCTGTGGCTGGGGTTTTCTATAGTGGCTAGGGTTTTGGTGCCATTGAAGTTGATGCTATGACCTGTGGCTTTCATGTGTTGGACTAGTGAGGAAGTGTGTTCCAGCTTTTTTACTGCATTTTTGTGTTCATCCAGGCGGGTACTTATTCTTCTATTGGTCTGTCCAATGTATATGGCCGGGCATGATGCACAGGGGACTTCGTATATGCCTTGGTTTTCCAGGTCAATTTTATCTTTGGGGTTTCTAAGGATGGCTGCTATTTTTCTGTCTGTTTTGAAGGCAGTCTTGATGTGATGCCTGTGTAGTATCTTACTGATTTTGTCTGTAGTACCTCTTATGTAGGGCAGGGCAGCTGTTCCATAGGTCTGTTCATCTTCTAGGTCTTCATTATGTCTCAGTGTGTTTTTGTGGATCAAGCCGGTGATTTTGCTTTTGTGGAAGCCGTTGGCTGTCAGTACTTTAGTCAGGGTGCATAGTTCAGTCTTTATGTGTGTCTTGTCTGCCAGGCGTTTGGTTCTAGCAATTAGTGTTTTGGCCACGGAGTTTATCTGTGCTGGGTGGTGGTGGGATTGGGCGTTGAGGTAGCGGTTGGTGTG